CCCCCCCCCCCCCCCCCCTTTTTTTTTTTTTTCCCTTTTTTTTTTTTTTTTTTGATGTTTGACTTTTTTTTTTTTTATTTTTAAAAAACTTAATGTATTACAAGCTTGTCGGGACCCTTGTGACTACCGCCTTTCACGATGAACTAACACTCAATAAGCAAACCTCTTGCATATGATACATGTTTATGATATGCATATAAATTACTTTAAAACAAAAGGCAATTTTCAATATGTATCCCCTTTCTTTCATTTCCTTAGAAACTTGTTATTGACATCTGAGCTCACTTAGTGTATTACCCAACCAATTAGAATGCAGTGGGCAATAATTATTTGGAACCCAGTCGAGTCCTACCGGTAGTATCGCAAAGCAGTTATTAATATTATCGTTGAACATTGGTTAAGTTTGTTGATCACCCAACTATTGATTTGGGGTTGTAGATGACATTGCGGGCTTCAAGTTCGTGCTATGATCCGGTGGCCGTGGTGGCCAGAAAGTGGCGTTTTAAAGGTGGCGATATTGAGATTGAAAGAGAGAACTGTACAAATGTTTTCAAAATTTTTTAAACCAAACATGTTTTCTAATTTTTCGTTTTGAGAAATCATTTTTCAAAATGATAAACCAAACGCGTTTTTTACAATCTCAAAATAAGGCCTCAAAACAGAAAATAGAAAACGAATTCAAAACAGAAAATGAAAAACAGAAACGCAAAGCGAACGCCCCTAATATTTTCAATAAAGCAATCTTAAAATACAATTTTGTTTCCCTTTCATCATTGACCTACATATCTAATAGGGGTAATTACACAAATACACTTAAATAAGTGGCTTTTTGGGAAAAAAATCATTGTAAAAAATAGTTAAATTATAATAAGCTTAAATTAGTAATTAAAAACGTATTATTTACGGCCAAAATTCACGTTAAAAAGCCCATTACAAAACTCCAAAAGCTTAGCCCTAACTCCAAAAGCTCAGGTAAACTTGTTTTCTTCTTCAATTCTATCCCATAAATTCAAATTCAAGAATCACCAAACATTCAAGTCAATCACAATACTAATTGCAGAAGCAATATATCCCATTTATTGAAACAAGTTAATAACCATGACAATAATTTTCCAGAAACATCCATTTGGGTTTTGTTGAATTCCTTCAAACTTGCTTGCCAGCAGAAAGAAGAATCAAAAGAAAAGCCAAGGCTTTTTGAATGAAGGCGGGTTCGGGACCTAAACCCAAAATGAAATAGCTGACCTTGAAGCCATATCTGCCCTAAAATAGTCTGCTGTGCATTTATTATGATTTTAGTTCAAGTCTTGCTTATTTTGCTTTCTGCTTAATTTGGTTTAGTTTCATTTTTATGCTGGGACAAATAGCTCTCTTCTTATGTTTTTGAGAGGAAATGACATAGTTGATATGTATGAAAAATCAACTTTGAATCAATTCAACTGATGCATGTAAGATGTTTGTGAAAATATAAATGTGAAAAAGTGACATTTTGTATGACTTTTATCTGAAAAGGTCGAAATATATCTCATTCAAATTCCTTTGGAACAATTAAATAGATTGCATACACATTTTTCTAAATTTAAATATACAAATTCAGACCTTATTTTACATTAAAAAGTGTAACACTTTATTTAATACGAGCTATTTTGTGGAAGTCAAAAGTGACATTGTCATTTTTAAAAAAAATTCTCACACAATTTCATTTGTATTATTTCGCAGTAATGGATAAAATTAAGCCTTCATTTGTTATGGACGTAAATGTGGATAAGATAATGAATATAAAAGTGACAAAATAATTGGAATACATACAACCTTTGTTAAAAAGTTACATATCATGTCAATTTTTAAGAAGCCAAGTTTTGACACTATTAACAAGAGACTTAAGTTATCATTATTATCAT